TCCATTCACTCATTCTTCCCAAATCATCTCCTCTCCAAGTGAACACAACCTAAGTGAACACACCCTAAGTGTACTTTAATATAAAAAATACCCTTTGTTGCATAGATAAAGGTACATTGCAGGAAGGCTTAGGTTGGCAAATGTCTATCCTACAACATGTGTTCTGAGTAGTGGCTGTGATGTTATTGTGGTATCTTCATCACATATAACTTCATAAATTCTTAAGTACTCAATTCACACGCAATTTAAGTCTCACAATCTACAGAATTTTAATTTATTTAATAATTCAATAAGAATACAATAAGGTGAGGTGTTGCACTGTTTGTATGAATAAATATGTAATAAGTATAGAAAGGAGTATAGTTATAACATTTATATTTCTTTTGATGTTGAGAAAGTAAATATCTTTGAAATTTTAGTGAATTTGATAGATTATAAAATGAGTTATAACTTATGTAGTAAAAAAAAAAATTGACAGAGAACATATATATATATATATATATATATATATATATATATATATATATATGGTATCAAAATATATTGTAGGTTGTGAGGTGAGAAAATTTAAGTAGGTTAATGGAAGACAAGTGGCTGTAAGAGGGTGGATCGTTCGGTTTTGACGGTAGTATTTAAATTAAAATTTCAAATCACGTTTCACTTTCTGCATGCACTATCTCTTCTCCAACCTTCTGAAATCTTCTTTTCTCCTCCTTCTCTCTAAACTCTCTCTCTCTCTAGAACCTCACACGTTCTCTTCATCTGATCAACAATCAGGTGGTGCTTGAGTTTTCCTAATATCAAGAGCTTTCTTTTGAACCGATCAAGTGGTCTTTTGAGCTGGTAAGTTCTTCTTCTTCTTAGAAATTCTGTTTTCTAGCACATGCAAACCAAGTTTCTAGTTGTATGTGTTTATCATCTTCTTCTCTTAAAATTCTGATCACATTTTTGGTTTATGGTTGGTCTATTTTCATCAGTAGGTTAACCTTAGGTTTCTAAGAAATTTGGTGGTGAGCGAGTTTCTGCAATTGAGAGTTTTTTGTCCAGTTAAGAGGTAAGGAAAGCTAGTTAATTTACTATGTATGAAAAAGTTGTTTGATGATTATGCATGTGTGTAAAAGTGAATGAATTGGTATTCGGCATTGTTGGACGTGTGCATGTGTAGATAATTTGATGTTGGCTTGATTTTTGTGTATAACCGAAACCTGTGAACTGGTTGAGTAGTTCTACAGAGTTATGTAGAAAGTCGAGCGCTCGTTGTTGAACGATCGGTCATGTCAGTTAATTGGGCTTAGCAATAATTCAGTTTTGTAGTGATATTCTGTCTTAGTGTTGTTCCGTTAATATTGATGTTCAGTTTTAAAAATATTGTTCTTGATATCATTCGGTCATGTACTGTTCTTGGTAGCGTTTGGTCATGTACTGTTCTTGATAACGTTCGGTCATGTACTGTTCTTGATAGCATTCGGTCATGTACTTTTCTTGGTAGCGTTTGTTATTAGTAGTACTATGTATTAGCGTTCAATTTTGGTAGTAATCGATGGATTATAACATTCGGTCATACACTAGTATTCGGTAGTCATAGCGATCAACCCGTTCGGTCATATGCTGATTGGCAGCTCGGCAATGTTTAGGTACTCGGTCAGTAACTGAGTTTGGTCTTTTTAGTCTTACCCATTTATGACCGTTCGACTTTAGGTGTGTGGATGGTTTCTTGTTAAGCGCTCGGTCTTGTACTAGCAGTTATGCTAGTGTTAGCGCTCGGTCGTGTACTAGCAGTTATGCTAGTGTTAGCGCTCGGTTGTGTACTGGCAATAATGCTATTGTTAGCGCTCGGTCTCGTACTAATGCTCGTTCTTGGTAGTGTTCGGTCTCGTACTAGCGCTCGTTCTTGGTAGTGTTCGATTTTGTCTTATAGTGAGTTTTCGTTCGGTCGTACTCAGGGGTTGTGTTGTTGTCGTTAGGTTCTATGAATGATTATTTGGACTTTAAATGCTAATTTCACTGTTTGACTTTGATTGCTTGAGATAGTTGTATTGATATATTGTGTATGAGAAATTTTATTGATATTCCAATAAGACATATGTTTCAAGTAATGTGGAAGAGAATTCCAAGGAGGAATGTTTCACTGAAAAGTGTATTGAAGTGGTAAAGTATGAATATGGATAATGAAATTCACGGAGTTCATCCTGATATTCTGATGATTACCAATTCTCAAGTAGAGATGGGTAATGCATTGTGTGAGAATGACAGGAGGTCCTAGCCTNTATATATATATATATATATGGTATCAAAATATATTGTAGGTTGTGAGGTGAGAAAATTTAAGTAGGTTAATGGAAGACAAGTGGCTGTAAGAGGGTGGATCGTTCGGTTTTGACGGTAGTATTTAAATTAAAATTTCAAATCACGTTTCACTTTCTGCATGCACTATCTCTTCTCCAACCTTCTGAAATCTTCTTTTCTCCTCCTTCTCTCTAAACTCTCTCTCTCTCTAGAACCTCACACGTTCTCTTCATCTGATCAACAATCAGGTGGTGCTTGAGTTTTCCTAATATCAAGAGCTTTCTTTTGAACCGATCAAGTGGTCTTTTGAGCTGGTAAGTTCTTCTTCTTCTTAGAAATTCTGTTTTCTAGCACATGCAAACCAAGTTTCTAGTTGTATGTGTTTATCATCTTCTTCTCTTAAAATTCTGATCACATTTTTGGTTTATGGTTGGTCTATTTTCATCAGTAGGTTAACCTTAGGTTTCTAAGAAATTTGGTGGTGAGCGAGTTTCTGCAATTGAGAGTTTTTTGTCCAGTTAAGAGGTAAGGAAAGCTAGTTAATTTACTATGTATGAAAAAGTTGTTTGATGATTATGCATGTGTGTAAAAGTGAATGAATTGGTATTCGGCATTGTTGGACGTGTGCATGTGTAGATAATTTGATGTTGGCTTGATTTTTGTGTATAACCGAAACCTGTGAACTGGTTGAGTAGTTCTACAGAGTTATGTAGAAAGTCGAGCGCTCGTTGTTGAACGATCGGTCATGTCAGTTAATTGGGCTTAGCAATAATTCAGTTTTGTAGTGATATTCTGTCTTAGTGTTGTTCCGTTAATATTGATGTTCAGTTTTAAAAATATTGTTCTTGATATCATTCGGTCATGTACTGTTCTTGGTAGCGTTTGGTCATGTACTGTTCTTGATAACGTTCGGTCATGTACTGTTCTTGATAGCATTCGGTCATGTACTTTTCTTGGTAGCGTTTGTTATTAGTAGTACTATGTATTAGCGTTCAATTTTGGTAGTAATCGATGGATTATAACATTCGGTCATACACTAGTATTCGGTAGTCATAGCGATCAACCCGTTCGGTCATATGCTGATTGGCAGCTCGGCAATGTTTAGGTACTCGGTCAGTAACTGAGTTTGGTCTTTTTAGTCTTACCCATTTATGACCGTTCGACTTTAGGTGTGTGGATGGTTTCTTGTTAAGCGCTCGGTCTTGTACTAGCAGTTATGCTAGTGTTAGCGCTCGGTCGTGTACTAGCAGTTATGCTAGTGTTAGCGCTCGGTTGTGTACTGGCAATAATGCTATTGTTAGCGCTCGGTCTCGTACTAATGCTCGTTCTTGGTAGTGTTCGGTCTCGTACTAGCGCTCGTTCTTGGTAGTGTTCGATTTTGTCTTATAGTGAGTTTTCGTTCGGTCGTACTCAGGGGTTGTGTTGTTGTCGTTAGGTTCTATGAATGATTATTTGGACTTTAAATGCTAATTTCACTGTTTGACTTTGATTGCTTGAGATAGTTGTATTGATATATTGTGTATGAGAAATTTTATTGATATTCCAATAAGACATATGTTTCAAGTAATGTGGAAGAGAATTCCAAGGAGGAATGTTTCACTGAAAAGTGTATTGAAGTGGTAAAGTATGAATATGGATAATGAAATTCACGGAGTTCATCCTGATATTCTGATGATTACCAATTCTCAAGTAGAGATGGGTAATGCATTGTGTGAGAATGACAGGAGGTCCTAGCCTATAGGTTCTTGGGTGAGTTATAACGGACTAACCTCGGGTGGTAGCTGATGGTTTTCCAGTTACTAGACCACCCGAGTTCATGAATGACCTCAAGCTACATATTCACACAATCCGGATGGTCAAGTAAGGTGTTCGTTGTATGCATGAAGTATAGTGTTCAGTTTGTATATGCTTACTTATATTTGTTTTGGTATGTTGTAGTGTTCAGTTCTGCATTGTTTATACTTGTACGAAATGTATGTATGTTTGCACAATTAAATTACATTAGCTTACCCTTATTTCCTGTTTTGCCCATGTTTTCGTTCGGTTTTCTCTTGAGATGATCATCCTTTTGGGTGTGAGTAGAGGGGGAGGAGTGTACGTTGGAGAAGGAGTTGGACGGCGAGAATCCTACTGTTTAAATTATGACCATTCGGTCATATTATTGTCTATAGTTTTGGGTGAACTGTTCGGTCACAGTAATATTTTTGTATATTCTAGTCAGTTTTGTGTATAGTTTTGTAGTAATATAGGAATTGTGTAAAATTTTAAATTTTAGGTTAACTTTATTTTTCAGCAACTCTTTTATCATATTATTAAATGATGACACATGTATATAATTATATGCTATATTTTTGGATGTTACATGTTGATTTGGTATCCCTAATAAAACAAAGTTTAAAACATATATATTAAATTAAATTTATTAAAATAAAATTATTTAATTTTACATTTATTAATTTCATTATTTTACGTTACCTTTCTTACACCTATTATGAAGATGAACTTGATGTTCCGTTTTTACTTTCACGTCATCGTATATTCGATAATAAGGATATTATTCATTCCCCTTTTTGATAATATTCTTCTCTCTATAATCTTTTATATCATTTTACTTTCATAATTTCATAACTTGTGTTCGAGTACTGTGCTATCAGTTACCTCAAAACTTCTATCAATAATCAAGACAAACATTTTTCATAACTAAAACACTCAGATTTATAAAATCAACAATTGCTTATTCATCATACCCTTCAGAAACTATCTTCTTCACTACCAACAATACTTACAAACTTATTTCTTGAAATATCAAATACAGCTTATCTTGTTGAGTGACTATGGATAGATCTGAATGAGAGACCTTGAGCCCAAAACGGGAGTTATTGTGTAGTTATTGAAACCAGCAGAGGAAAACAACTTAACCCATTCCTTCTCGTTTCTCTCTTTTCCCTTGACCAACACCATCATCAACATGTCAAAGAACAGCTGTGTTTCAACATATTCTTCATCTTTCACTTCATTATCCATCACCATGTCTATGATTATCACCTTCCCTTCTTTCCCTTTCTTAGATATAGCTTCCTTGCATTTCTTCAATATGCTCACACACTCCTCATCGCTCCAGTCATGTAATATCCACTGTTTTCTCATCCAAAGTAAAAGGAATTAAGCTCATTAGAATAACCACCTCATTTAATATAGTTAATATAGTAGGGACCACTTACTATAAGTCAGATGACCAAGTTGAATCTGCACACCTAACATTAACTTAATTAGCTCTATTTATTAATTAGAAAAAGACTCAACCATGCTTCTACCAATGTACATCCAAAGAAAGAACTCAGCTATAAAAAAGTGTTACTATAATAAGTAATTTGAGGAGACAAGAGAATAAAAATGAGGAGCAATATTACTATATATAATTTGATATATTGTCTCGACGTTCATATATGATTCCGAAACAGTTGGTCTTCGATATTTTATTTGCAGAAGTAGTTAGAATACACAGTGCTACTTAGTTACCGATAATCATTATATATGTTGATTATTTCATTTGATCAACAATGGTGATATTGTTCTTTCTTTTCCAATTGATCAATTCGTTGGTTCAATTCTCTGAAGTTTAACATCAGTCAAGTAAATTGAAAGAAAAGTTAAGAATGTAACAGTGTACTATGATTTGTAACGATATTTTACCTTCAACAAAATGGCATCTGTTGGAGGAATCTCCTCAAACATGTCCCCTCCAACATAATTAAGGTTTTCACTTCCTTGCAAGCCAGAAACAACATGTGGAAGATCAAATACGATGCATTCCAACTGAGGGAAGGATGCGGCAATGACCTTTCCCATGGTTCCTGTACCTCCCCCAACATCAACCAATGACTCCAATCCCATGAACACCCCTTTGCATTTCTCAATCACCGAACTAGTGATTAGTAGAGCATCACTTGCCATGACATCATTGAATAAAATGTTAATTCTGGGATCAATGCCAGAATACTCCCAAAACAATTTCCCATGAGACATTTCAAAGGGTGTAGTAATACCATTTTTGAACCAACTAGAAAACTGAGTCCATGGATTTGTTAAAACTGGATCAAGCATGGCCTGCAGGAAAGGTGCCATACTCATTTCATGGCTCTTAAGCAAAAGCAAAGAGGCATCAGTGAGTGCATACTTGACATCAAGATCGTTGTCGGAGTGAATGAGTTGAGAGAAGAAGCCAGAATGGACCAAGATTCGCATCAAGCGAGGGATGAAGTGAGTTTTGGAAGAGTGAATTGGAAGTGAAGCAATGAGGTTAGAGAGTGAGATGGGTTGGCCATGGTTGTGTATGATGTCTGCTATGCCTAACTCAACAACACATTTAAGGGACATGGAGTTTATGAAGCTAAAAATATGATTCCATATGTGTGTTTGAGCCCTCAGTAGTTTCGCGTCATGGGATTCCATACTTTGTTGCATAAACTACTTGTTCAATTTGGAATATGCAACCTCACACACCATTTGGGTCTATTTATAATTAAGCAACCGAATACCCAATTAGCTGCCACTTATTATATTATTCATAGGATATGATGGTAGATTATCATGCCTCCATACTGGTATAATATAATATATTATTTGTCTTCGTTCTATCTCCGTACTAATATAATATATATAGATATAGATATTGAGATAAAGTGGTGATTGTGTTGATGGTGTCGACTTTTTTACTTTTGCAACGCTTTCCTTCTTAAAATAATATAAAAGATCTTGCTTGATGATGATGATGGCAGGGGAGAGTGGCACCCTGTATATATATATGTCTTATTATCTGAATTGCATATTGTTATAATTAACTCAATAAATAAAAATCTCAGTTGCATCTTAAATGCAAGAGTAGCATGTGTACATACTGCAAAATTCATCCTCTGCCTTCCAGCATGTCCGTTCGTTGCATATATAAAGGTACATTGCAGGAAGGCTTAGTTTGGCAAATGTCTATCGTACAGCATGTCTTGTCAGTGGCTGTGATGCAGTGTTATGACTATATTGTGGTATCTTCATCATATATAACTTCATAAATTCTTAAAATATAAGTCCGTTTAATTGACATTTTCACGTGAGAGTTTTATCAACTATATTTCACTACCAGCATATCACTACTTTCAACGTACTAAGTTTGGTTGAAAAAAGAGAGTATTCAATAGTCCATATTCCTTTTAAAAATTTCAGTATGATGTGATTTTTGGATACCCGTTCAGTGCATGCATCACACTTTCCAACTATTGTTTCTCATTTATATATTCCTTTTTAAAATGTTATGATAAAAAAAATTTGAATATCATTTAATAATCATTTGACAATTTATATAAATATAAAAGAGTCATTAAAAAATATGTTTTTTAATTATAAAAAAAAATACTAGATAGTATGTAAAAAAGTTTTGAATATCAAAATAACAATGTCTAAATTAAAAAATATGACTAAGTACTCACTTCATACACAATTTAAGTGTGACAAATTTTCTGTAGAATTTTAATTTATTTAACAATACAATAAGAATACAATAAGGTTAGGTGTTGCACTCATTATACATATTTCCAGTCTGAAAGTAAAAATTTACATTTATGTTTATTTTTATTCTCATTAAGCACGAAATTTTGTATTTCATCCAATTTTATGGTATGATTACATATTTACTCTTATATTATTTAAATATTTATTTAATAATTTTTAATAAAAAATATAAATTATATAAAAAAACATTATATTACAAAGGTTTAAAAGGGTGTATATTTTATTTTCTTATATACAAAAGATTTTATAATTTCATAAATATTGAAATGAAGTCTTGTATAAATATATATGTAATAAGTATATAAAGGAGTATAATTATAATATTTATATATTCTTTTTGATGTTGAGAAAGTAAATATCTTAGAAATTTTAGTGAATTTGATAGATTATAAATTAAGTTAAATTTATGTAGTAAAAAATAAAATTGATAGAGAACAAATAAATAAATAAATTCATATATATATATATATATATATATATATATAT